AAATAAATTTGTGCTGACACTGACGGTAAAATTAGACAGAAAAACAGGAACACATGGAGCCTGCAAGCGGCGCCATAAAATCACGGAAACAGCAGCTCGTGAGACGGAGCAGGGTACGAGGAACAAACATCTCCCATCGTTTGATTAAAAGTAATCAACGCTTTCGATGTCAACTAATTAACACACTTAAAGATATTCTAATTTAGTTCTTGATGTTCATAAGAAAGTAGTTTATGCTTTTCAATGTCTTGAATGATTAGAAGCGAACATCTGATGAGCAAAATGGATTAACAAATTGACACCATAATTGTTCTTTGCCGCACCGACATTGTAAGCAAGTTAAACTCCTAATTGAATCCCTGCAAAGAAGTCTCTTTCCTTAATCTTCGGCTTTTGTAAACTTTTTAGGAGTGCGGGATGTTTGGGACGTCATCTTAATTTGAATACTGTCAGAAGAGAAAATGATAAATGAAACCATCATGACCTGATTATCCTGCGGTCACCTTAAGTGTCACAGGTGTGATTATTAAGTCATTTAAACCGACACGTTTCTAATAGGATGCATCCATCGCTAAATGAAACTAATAATAAGAGTCATCTTTGAAGCCGAACTGCGACCTTTGTTCCTTTTTCGCTCTCGATAAGTTTATTTCATAAACTTTCCTTGCGTAATAAGCTGTGAGGACCGCAACAACAGAGGTTTATCTAAAACCGAACAATTAAGTCATCTAACAAAGAGAGTCTTTCGACCAATGATAATCAATATGTCTATTTGGGGTCAAGGCTGTAGAATTTAATGCTAAAACATTTGCATTTTCAAAGAACTGATACATTCTTTTTAACAATGACAGAGATTTAATTGCTGTAAATGACGTGGGTGAATTGAAGTGTTTAAGGGATAAAACCAATTTTTTGCACCATTTTTGTCATGTCGTGTGCTGAGAACGTACCCGTCTAATGAAATTGCGTGATGAACATTGATCTCATTTGATCCTCTATATCGCGACAAGTGCGCAGCTTGGTTATCATTACAATAGCTTTGAAACTTAATACATCAGCCCAGTTGGACGCAAGCACGAGATCCGATAAATATTGATCGCGTGCACTCAAGCTTTTTCCATTGGATAAAAACAAAAGGTACGTCTTCGATCAAATACCACATATTTCTACATTTAGATTTGTTGGCTCTGCTTGAGAATGGCTCGAGAGCTTTATTGACAAACCATTAAGCACATTTTAATAGTGACATCGTACCTCCCACAGGTTTGTGTACAGAGTAATGCAAATGCACCACAGAAATTTGTAAACCCGTTGTCGTCTAGCTGTTCAAAGTCGGAATGGCCTCGTCCTACGGCAGTGCGTCTTCTGTAAATATCTCGACCGGCATGAAAGCAAAGCTTCAAAAATGGATGGGAAAGGCCAGTTCAAACGTTCGCGACAAGCGGTCCGCTAATAGCAGAGAAACGTTAACGGAAACCAAGGATTACTCGCACCCGCTTGAAATAAATAATGGCGCACTCACTCCTCAGCATTCAAGGGCAAGAAGTGCACCCATACCGATGCTACACGGCGATAAAATTGTGGTGAAAACAACACGAAAGGGCTCGTTGGCAAACTCTCCCACCTACTACAAGAGAGTCAATGGCGACCGTGAGAACGACAGGATTATTTCGTACCCAAAGAATGGAATTCCGAAGGATTTAAGTCACAGTATGGTGTTGTATGAGTCATCGAGCGATCCCAGCAGTAGCCCACGAAAGCAAAATAACACAGAATTGAGTCTTACAAATCAAACTCACTGTGTTTCTGGAAGCAGGAACGTTCGAGCGGCGAGCAGAGACGACATAAGCATGACGAGTGCAAACACTAAGGAAATGAAAAAAGTGCGTGCTCAAACAAAAGGCAATAAACCCGCTCGTGCGGTATCGAAAACATCTGAGGAATACTCTGACGAGAGTGCAAACTCTGACAGCGAGAGACTTTCAACGAATTCTGTTTTTGAAAACAGTCCCAGTGGTGGGTTGGAACAGCTATCGGAACAAATTCAGTCTCGGCTGCAGAAATGGGTAGAGCGGGCGTCATATATAGCCGCCATGCGAGAGAGAAGAGCAAGCGAGGAATCTGCCAGCTCTACCGATGACAGTCTTAATCCACCCGAAAGTCCTAATTCAAGGTCTTCGACATCAGAAGCGAAACTTTGGAAAAATGAGAGTCAGGTGAAAAAGATAAAAGAGCTGGAACTTGCGCTAAAAGAGCTGGTGGGGAACATTGGAGTTCGAGTGGGCAAGCAGGATGGAACCCAATCACCCAGCTCTGGACAGGGATCAAGGCACGATTCGCAACGAGAGAACGAGGATCTAATTAGAAACGAGAGCCAGAATTTATTAAGCACGCTTTCTAAAGATATTGGTAAGTCTGACTTGGAGCAGAACAGAGCCAACAGCACAAATTCCGACCCAGACGCTCGTGTCAACACCGCAGACGAGGTGAAGTTGATGAGTGACAACTCCGAAGGAACAAATGACGTTTTATTAGAAAATCCGATGGAAGATGATGAAGACGAATTCATTTTCATGAAGTCGAGTAAACCAAATCGTGACATGACTAATAATGGTGACCCGCCACCTACACAAACTCTCGGCCGTAGGAGTGCTGATTTGCAGGAAGTTTTGCTATGTCAGACCCTTATTGAACAATTTCCTAAACAAAATGGTTATGACAGCGCAGCAAAAATAGCCGCAAGCTACAGCAAGAAATTAATCGATGACACATCACCAAAAGGCAAAAATACAGTCGAAGAAGGAAATTTTTCCGCAGCTGCGAACAGTGAGAATCATTCATGTAAGACGGAGGCAATACAAGGACAAAATAGACCTGATACCTCTAAGTGCTCGGAAAATAAAGCTCGAGACACTACAGGAAATAAACCTGTGCGCCCGAATTTAAGGAAACGAAACACTGCTCCAGATGGGACAACTCTAAAGGTGGGAAGTGCCCTGAGTGTACGTGAAAGTATGAGACAGTATTTGAATTTCAAAGATGCTGATCTGTCTGCCTTTGCCGTGGAATGCGTGAGGCATGCGAACAAAAAGAAACAAAACGTACGAGAGGAGGAGGTCGAAGAGGAGAACATCGACTACAAAGCGCCTCAACCCACAAGGAAAGAGGCCAACACAACCGAATCTAATGGTTCACCATCCTCTTTGTCCTCAGGGCCTAAACCTGACGTGGTTATTTCCTCGCAAGACGAAAATAGCCAAACCAGCGAGGCTTATTCAACGAAATCTCTAGCTGATTCGCGTGGATCGTCAATTGACGAAGAAATCGTAAATTCTGAGGCCAGCGAAGAAGAACGCAGCTCGCATTACCCTTTCGCCCGTACTGCAGAAGAAGCTGGATGGTCTGCGAAAGAGTTCGCGCTCTCTAATGAAGGTGGAGAAAAGGAAATCTTGGGGCGCTCGTCGAGTAACCCGCAGCAAGGGGTTTTGACTTCACAGCGTCTCTATAAATTTCCTTCAATGCCAATGTTCTATTTCCCAAAAGGAAACGAAGATGCCGAAAATGGATCACAAAAGAAAAGCGTGAAATTCAATAAGCCCCCATCTATGCAAAGAAGATCCCTCGCCTCATTTCCTTCGGCTTTCGAATCACTCGGCGATGGAACAGATCCATTCTATCACGGACTCGATATGGCTTCAAAGACGAAACCAAAGTCAAGCAGCAGTTTGAACCTGCATGGCAAGGACCAAAATGCTAATGAAGTCAACAACACAAAGCCACTTGCAAGTAGCAATGTTGAGTTGCCTCATAAACACAAGAACCACATAGCAGAGAAAACTACAAAACAAAGAGTCAACAGCAGTGTCCAATTAAATGGCATAAGTAAAGATACAAACGACAACAAAGCTAGTCTTGAAGTGTCCGATGAAGACAAAAACCACGTTGCAGTAAGAAGAACGAAACAAAGAGCATTCAGCAGCATCCAATTGAGCAGCCTTGACAAAGAATCCTACGACAACAAACGTACAAGGGCCAACACTTCGAGTTCCCGACCACCAATGAGGAAACGAAAAAACAGTGCGCCAACGGGATTGGCAGTGTATCCTATGAGTACCAGCGTTCGAGTGGACATCGAAGCGCTGATTTAACTGATTAGATCTAATCATACAATTATTTAAGATGCGTTTTTATCAAAAGTTGAGCTAGCTAAACGCGAAATTTTTACAAATGCATGCCTTGCATGAGAAAATTTACTTTACAGAATGCTTAATATTTAAGCCTAACTGTAAATGATGAATTGGAAAGTTATGAAGCCTTCATATGGGGTAATGAGATTATAAACTACACACATATTTGAACAACTTCATTTTGACATAAGAATGTAGATTCCGTGGCTTTAGGCGCACAATTTTCGGTGATAGTTGCTACTAGAAAACTAGGAAACATCACATTTTTGCTTGTCGAAATATATCATTTGAAACAAATTCTATTTCTATATATAAAATAGCTTGGACATATCGATATAGATCGAAAATTTATATTAATCCACTTTATATTTATATTGTATTTTGATATATATCTATATAATTATACAATGTTTATGAATGTCCTTCTAGTACAGCAACAAATTTGAATATCTCTTTTTTTTGTTCACCATAAGTTTTTCGGTTTTCAATGCCTACTTAGATCGGTCAAAAGTTTTACAGCTGATTGTTTTTCGACAAAACAGCCGCTCCGGAAAGATTGCCTGTCTCAATTTATTCGTTTTAAAAATAACTTTGAAATATTGTGAACGGTGCTTATCGAAGGTGTCGTAATATTTTGAACTCTTTTTAAATAGTACCTTATGAAGGAAAGTTTTATCTTTCAATAAATACCATTTCCGTGATTTTGCTAACATTTCGTGCTTTTTTCCTTTATTATTTTTCTGCTAAGTTTGTTTTCAGACTTTTGTTATCTTCTTTGCACTTTAGGTTCCGAATTTATTATGTAAGTAATGCTTTTCTTCCGGTTTTAGAAGATCAACTCATTTGAAAAAACATAGGATCACCTTCGCAGCTTCGTAAGGGGTTTTGGTTGCCAAGGTAACCCTAAAAGAGAGCAGTCGCGCCATAATCGACTTTGCCACTTCTAGCTGATTGCAATCATAAGGAATTTCTTCGTTGATATTACAGTCAAAAATAGAAAACAGTGTAGAATTTCTCGTACACGTGAAAAAATCTTGAGTGATTTACAAGCAAGGGCCAATAACTCTGTTACTGACAGACAAGGTTCAATTAACCGCGACGGTTATTAGCTCTCATGTCGTACTCGTGGTCAAAACTCTTAAATCCTTTAACTCTAACGCCGTATCAAAAACAAAAATAGCCGCGATAAAATTAACGAGGATATTAACTATTTTACGAGAGGCAATGTGGAAGGTATTTCCTTCTTTTGGAGTTCCAAGATAGCACAGCAACGTTATTTCGCTCGATATTTCCTTGGCGCCTAGAAGTTGTTTATTTCGCCTCGGGCTTAAACATATTCGCGAGTGCTTTAGCTTATTGCAGGTCACAAAAAGTTTTTCTTTTTTTATCGAAAAATCTGAGTCATTCCGTTTAAGGGGATACTTCCGTTTATACAGCAGCCTTGTCTCTGACTTATGACCAAGTGAAGGATTAAGCAAATGTCCATAAACAGTTCTGGGTGGTCAGATCGGTGTTGCTTCAATCAGTGTCCACATCAGTTCCACTCCAAAAGCGCGAGTTCAAAGGTTGTATTGGTTTTAGTCACAACTATAGATTTGCAGATAAACGTGTTTTGTACGACTTTGACCCCGTTTCCTATGAATGAAGGCTCCACATGATGTAATAAGACAATAGGATTTTTGCTGCCTCTAACGCTCCAATTTTCCCTCTCTGTCAACGTGCCGTGTAGTTGTCTAGGGGAGTACAATTTCCTAACTTCGTCCATTCTCAACTTGACAAAGAAGACAAAAGGAAAGCGTGATATTAGTAGACGGCGGTGGCGTTTAATCTTCTTACCGGGTTCAAAGATACAACTCACAATTATAACTTTTAGTCATTAGCTTCGCAATTTAATTATTCTACATCTTTCTAAAAAGCTGAGTGTGACCATTGAAAGCTCTGCCTGTTCTATTTTTACAACCAGGTTCCTACTGACAAGAGAGCCCTTGTCTTGTTTCGCATAGACAATAGGACAAGGCACCTTTTGTTTTTGTCTTTGTTTATTTTCATCAGTGTATTCTCAAAACAGAAAGTTAAGACCGTTCCCTGAAAAAAGAGAGGGATGATGATGATCGAGAATTCGAGAGATCTATTTGAATGATCTTTTCATAGACGGAGGATATCTTATCATTAAAAGTGAAAGGAACGTCAACGTAAGGACGAGTGAAATATATTTAAGAGCACATGTAGACAGATCTGTCCTTGCGTCTTTCAGAGGTCACATTAAATGATAAAAACGAACTTAATACGATATGAATTATTGATTGTGACCGCGAAAACAAGAAATTAGCGAGATCCATCAAAGATATTGGCTTGATTTGCATTTTCTACAACTAAATATAGAAAGTATCTGTATGGGCAAATATTGGAACTCCAAGGCCTAGGAAAATATACTTAAAAACGCTATCTTCACTTTACGTTCCAACAAAGTCACTGTCTAGGAAAACTTTCTAATTATTAAAGACTAAAAGACTTCACTAATAAGCAAGTTTTCTTCAAAGCCGTATAGCCTCTGTACACAGGGGTTAATGCTAGCCAAAAAAAAAAGTAATTGCAAATTAGCTGGTTAAGAAACTTGCTCGGGGCCATGTAAGGCAATAATTCCACACGTGCTAAATAAGTTGATTAAAAAACTGTGGCTATAAGCGAAAATTGCCCTGTGGCAGATCATGCTTTACAAACATTGTAGCCTTATCCGGGGACCGGTAGACGAGTCCGAGTAGAGAACTATCAAAGAATCTGCGCCTGTAGTATAACTTTGTAAGCGGTCGTATTTTAAAAAATTGGCGCTAAACTCAAAATGGCGGCGACTTTAGAGCAAATGGCGGAAATTTTCTCTTCAAAAATCTCCAGTTTAAAGCGATGCATGGAATTAAGAGGCGCAGGTAAGATAAAAAAAACCAAAGGCAGCATTTAAATATGATTTATATTGAAATCCATCGTTAACCAAAATGTGATGTGCAGATTTTGTATCATGGTTGATCGTTGATGTCTCAAGGCTTCGAAAGTACAAAGTAAAGCCGTTCAATCGTTGTCAAAATCATTTACCGAAAGTCAAAGACCAATCAGCCATTTTTTATTCCATACCGTGCACCATGCATTTTTACTTTTGTGATTTTAGGTTTGA